CTCCAATTTTCATGATCTGATGCTGACACCAATTTTCTCTCCCACAGCATTCTCCTTCTCTGCTGAACTCAATAACCTACTGCAATGGCAAAATGGAACTCACAGAGAATACTCAAAATTATGCGGTTTGTGAGCAAAATTTACAGGTTACAAATAGGGATAAAAAATTAAGTTCTTTTGTCAATAGCAATGCCTCTTCTCAGCTGGCGTGTGTGTGTGTGTGTGTGTGTGTGTGTGTGTATGTGTGAACCTCAGCCTCTTAGTCACAGGTCCCTGGGCCTCTGTCTACCCTGTCTGGCGCCCCTGGTGCCTCTGCCACTTCAGGAGGTTCTCAAGCTTGCTCTACTAGCAGCTCCTCTGTCTTGACAGTCAGGGATTCCTCTCTTCCTGCTGTTGAGACGGCTCACTTGTTTACCCAGGAAAATGGCCAAACTGACCAACCCTTGAGTCTTCTCACTCATTTTATTTGCCTGATCCCAGCCAGTCATTTGGAGGGAGTCAGAAAGACTAAGAATAAAAGCACCATGCCAAGTAATTTCACTCCACTGCAGGCCAGCTTCTGGCTCTTTCATACGTGAAGAATTAACCCCTCCCCTCCTTCACGATTACAGGGACCCTGGAAGAGCTATCCGGTAAGCAATGACTACATGAGCCAAACCCACCAGCTGCTCCCCTTGGGAGAAAGATGGAACTATCTGCTCCAGCAAGGATTAAATATGATTCTCAACCAACCAATGTCAGTGGGTAGTTTCCTATTTCACTATTATAGCTACAATTAGCTTTCCAATCACAATAACCCTGGTAACAATCACTCACAACTATCAGCATCTTTCCCCACCATCTCTTCCCCAGAACCATCAGGAAAAGGGGAGACTGCTCAGTGGGGATCCAGCCTTGTTCCATTCATTTTGGCACTAAATACAATCACCTCAGGTTATAAGCCAGCCTCTTTATGCCTTTTTCACTCCCTATTTTAGATAGCCAATGTCTAAGGTACCCATCCTTATCATCCCCACACTGTGAGGAGACAAGCATTTTCTTTGGTGTAAAGAATCTTTATTTCTGGGGTTTCAAGTGAATATGATAAGTAGGTTTTGTGTCAATTGGCTGGGCCAGCATTCTCGGTGGTTTGGCAGATACGACTGACTAATCCCAATGAAGTGACTTAATACAATGCAGTTAACTCTATAACGGCATCTGGTATGAGGAGCCAGCCAATCACTGGTAGGATTAGGGTGGGCTGCAACACCCTTACTCAGATCACAGCCCTCATCAGTCACTGAAAGACATTTACCAAGTCTCCTATGTTTTCTATCATTGGTCAATCACGACCTATATCGTAACCAAATTAACATGTAAACATTGACTAGACTGACTTGAACATTCAACTGTAAAAGAGTATTCTGTATAGAACTGAGGAAATATTAATAAACTTGACATTAAATATTAAGAGTTATTATTTGTTCTGTTACAATGATGCTGGCATCTTATAGTTTTTGTTCTTAGCCCTTACCTGTTAGGAAACAAGGGGACACTACAATTTACTTTGTAATAACCCACCAAGCCAAACCCACAGCCACTGAGTAGATTCCGACCATAGCAACTCTGTCTGGGTTCCTGAGACTGTGCATCTTTACGGCAGCAAACGGCCTCATTTTCCTCCTGAGGAGCAGCTTTTGGGTTTGAACTGATGACCTTACAGATAGCAGTCCAATAGCAAAAATAAAAAGGAGGGATAAAACAAGAA